TGCGGTGGCGTGGGAAGACGAAGGAGCTTGAGGAAGCAGGAGTGTTGGGTTCCGCCGACTGTGTGAGCGGCTTCACCATCAGCACGCGACACCCGAAGCGTACGCAGTCGCATGCATCGCTCAAGTGCCAGAAGCCTCACCAAGTCCATGTTTCGGAGGGCGCCTTTGCCGCCCATGACGGAGCATAAAATGCCGGACGGCTGAGGAAGCCAACATACCGTTGGTACGGATCATGGCGTGTGGCGCCCTCGCGGATGTGGTGGAGTGCCTTGTTGAGGTCGCGGCAGCCGCAGACAAACCTCGTGCCTTGTTGAGGTCGACCATGCTAGCATGGCGCGCGACGCCCTCACGGATGTGGCGGAGCACCCTGCCAAGGTTGCGGCAGCTGCAGACCAACCCCGTACATGTTCGCGGCGTCGGCGCTGTTGTTGGCGTTGACCATGCCAACATGGTGCCGAGATCGCACTATCATAGCAGCGTAGCTTCACCTGCTGTACAAGCGGCTCGTGCACGTGAAGTGTCGCGTCGATGCCGTCTCCACCGCCGGAGTCCATGACCCCGCCGCTCCTGTTCGCGTCTCGCTCAACGTACCACTGCGATGCTTCTCGCACACGCGAGCTAGGCTGCTCCTCGATGGCTTGACGCACCCTGCTTCTAGGGAAGATGACCTTCGCCTAAATTGAAAGAGGTCACAAACCTTGCCATCCCAGCTGCGGCTGAAAAAGGGGTGAAGAGAAATCCGGTGACTCCTCTCCCATGGTCTCGATTTATAATGCGATGCGGATTGGCGAGCAAAGAACTGAACCCATGGCAACAAATTGGTCAAGCCAAACGAGAAAATATATTGCTGCAAATACGGTGAGATTGCTTTTTGTTCTTCTTGGAGAGAGAGAGAATGGGAGAGAGAGGAGAGTATTGTGAGGAAAATGAATGGGAATGACTTAACACGTAGGGTTGTTATTTTTTTATTTTTTCACTGACAGGTGGGTCCCATGAGCGACATGTAGGATAAAAACGCTTCTGGAAACAGCCAAAGGAGGTGATTTGCACCGATTTTTAAAGATGGGGGAGACGTTATACCCGGCTTTACGGTTGACGAAAGCAACTCAAATAGGGACAAGAGATCAGGGAGGTAAAATAGACTTATTCCCTGAAAATTTTACCACTAGAATCGTGGCCCGGCCCGTGTACTTTTAGGCACCAATAGGGCGTGAAGGGGGAAAAAGGTACTTTGACTATTTCAAAAGGAATAAGTCTATTTTGTGTACCTCTCCTGATTGAATGGTCTCCTCAACCACAAAACTGGATATAATGTCTCCCCCATATTAAAAACCAATGCAAATCGACCCCTTTAGTGGTTTGGAAAACTTTTTTTCTAACATGGCAGGTTGACTGTGGCGCACTCACTAAGCCAGCAGATAGAACTCACATATCAGCGACTCTCATTTTCTTACTCATCTCTCCCCACTTGCCAATGCAAGGGTGGTTCCATGACAACCCATAAAAAAACTACCCAATTCATATATGTATGTATGTATCGTTGAGAAAAAATGGCCCTGTTCGGTGCAACTTGTTGCTGCAGTAGCTGCAACTACATCAACAGTATCAGTGTGTAGAAATAATATTGTCGCTGTTTCAGCTGCAGCTGCGCAGCTGTGAAAAAGTTGCAGCAAACAGACCCAATCTCTTATTAATAAAAGAGTAAAATACAGTAGCGGCCCTTAAACTTGCGGGCGGATGTCATCCAGGTCCACTAACTTGCAAATCGTGTAATTAGGCCACTAAACTTGCTAAATGTACCATCGCCGGTCCAAAATGCCGTTTGACCGCGGTCGCGCCGACGTGGCATGCCACGTGCATAGCTGAGCTGGCCCGCACCGTGCGTGACACACCGCCCACGCCTTGTCGTTTTTCATCCAGGTCCTTCTCTTTTTCTCATTTGGTTTCCACCACTGCTTCTTCTTCCCCGGAGCGCCTAAAATCTGAGCGGCGACTAGGGATGCGATTGAGGGCAAGGTTTGGCGGCGGAGCAGGTCGCGGCAGGTTCGGCGGCGGAGCAGGTCTCGGCAGGGTTCGGCGACGGAGTATGTCGTGGCAGGCTTCTTCGGCGGAGTAGGTCTCGGCGGGCTTCGGCGACGGAGGCGATGGCAGGCTCGAGCTCCAGTAGGAGCACAACACAGTCGGTGACGGAAATATCCAGGCAAGGTAAAACCTTTCCATCTCCCATTCGGTACCTAGAGAGTAGTTTGTTGAAGTCAGTTGGTTTATTCATTTTGAATGTGCAGAATGGTGGATGCAAATTATGGCAATGGTATGAACCAGGGACAACGCCGTATTTGAAGCAGGTTTTGAATGATTTAGTCAGCACTGTTCGTGAAGTGAAGACAGAGAACTCTGAAATTAGAGCATCCCTTGCCAACTCAAGAGCTGTGATTGATGGACTTGTCACTGAACGCAATGTCTATGAAGCAAAGAGCATGGGACAAAAAGAGGAATGTGGCTCATTTGCTGAAATGGCCTATAGAATCAAGATGTTAGAAGAGAGTAGACGATTTATGTTGTTAGTTATTGTTGGTTTTGTAGCAGTCATATTTGCACTATTGCTTCTTAGGTAGATACCAAAGTTTGATGGATATGGATGTATTGGTGCTGGTGTGTTTTGTGTCAGCTAATAAGGCACTTGAGTGACCTTTTGTGTATGCTGAATCTGAACCATGTATGAAAAATGTATGCTAAATGCTATTATGTGAAGCTGAAATATGAGATTTTGTTCTGAAAATCGACATCTCTAATTTTTTTTCAGCAGACAACTGTTATTTTGTTCTAGCTTATGAAATGTCCTGTAAAACGTCATCTGGAAATAGCAAACACGCATCATGCATTACAGGCAGTAATTTCCCATATTCATCACAATACCAAATTTCTGGCATTTAGTAGTATTTCTAGTACTACATTCAGTGAACACATGTTTGGCACTAAAGGACCATCAAACATATGGTCTAACACATATCACTTGTTTGTAGCAGTAGCTTTCTTCCTGGGAGCTCTGTTCTTTGAAGTAGTAGCAGCAACTCCTGAAACTCCTTCAGTTGTACACTTCCTTTTGTTGGCCCTAGATTTTCCCTCTTTTGTTGCTGTGGTCATAGGGGTAGATACTACAGCTGGCTGGTTTGAAAGATGTACTGGTTATCTGGGAGAGGACCATGTGTAGTTTCCATTTGACTCACTTGTGATGATTCCTCAAACATCTGTGCAACCATAGGATTAGGAACTTGTGATAGTAATTGGTCATATGCAGACTGAGATTGGGTCAGCACCTACAAGTTTACAAAGGTAATTAAGATAGAGTTATAATAGGGTAGTGATAATAGAGTGATAAGATAGAGTATTGTTTCATTACCTCTGCTGGTTCTTGCTCAGATTCATGCCACTCTTCTGTAGAACTTGCAGCTGGGATCCTACTTGTCTTCAGTTTGGGTCTGAGTCCAGCCTTTCTCAGTGGGCACCCTTTCTTGTTATGTCCAGGCTCTTTGCAGTAAGAGCAGTGCATCTCCACACCATGCTTGGACATTTTAGGCCCATTTTTTCCCTGTACCTCATGTGGTGCTTTCCTCCTAGACTTAGGTGGTCTGCCAACCTTTTTCTCATATATTGGAGGCTTCACTTCTGGCCCATTCACCTGAGCCCACTTAGTCATATCATTGCAGGGCCAAATGTTAAATGCATATGCTCTGGAGAATGCTTCTAAACTATAGCAGGGTGGAAGAACTGACTCAGCACTAATTCTCTCACTCCTTAAGCATGAGATAGCATGGTTACAAGGGATGCCTGTCAGATCCCATCTCCGGTAGTCACAATGTTTAGCACTAAGGTCAACAATGTACTTGAAATTCCTATCTTCCACCTGAAAAATCCCTTTCCCGGCTGGCAAAACATAACATGTGTTTGCCATATCTGCATTTTTCAGTACTTTCTTCCTGATCTTGGGGCATATAGGCCCATGCCATTGCTCTGCCACTTCTTTCTGCTTACTATAATGCCTACTCATTAGTTGGCTTTTGATCTTTTCAAACATACTCAGGATTGGCAATTCCCTAGCTTCTAAGATGTACTTGTTGAATACTTCACAATTATTGTTCAATAAGATATCACACTTAGGGAATTCACTAAAATAAGCTCTGACCCAAGTTTTAGGAGGCATCTTTTGAAGCCACTCATATGCATCCTGATTAAGAGATTTCATTTCTTCCATGTTGGCATTCCACTCAACCTCTGAACTTGATCTAGCACATGCCCATAACTGGTTTTTCAGATTCTCACCTTTGAAATGTACCTGAAAATTGGAGTACAGATGTCTAACACAGAATCTGTGTTCTGAATCAGGGAAAATCTGTTGGACAGCTGGTATAAGACCCTGTGTCATGTAAAAACAAACATAAGAACAATTTGAAATATGTCAGATTATAAGAACAAAACTTGTTATGTAACCTATAAGACAAAAATAAAGAACAGGTATACCTTTTGCTTATCAGTCATTATTGTCCATGGGTAGGTATTGTCAATGCCCAGGTCTTCCTTTAGGGTCTGTAGAAACCATCTCCAAGACCTCAATGACTCTGTCTCAACCACAGCTATTGCTATTGGATATATGCAATCATTAGGGTCAATACCTACTGCTGTTAGGATCTGTCCACTAAATTTAGTCTTGATGTGGCAACCATCCAAACATATCAAAGGCCTACATCCACTCAAAAACCCTCTCTTACATGCATCAAAGGACATGTAATATGTGCTGAAACAACTGTCTACCAAGTTCAAAAAGAAGCAACTGCCTAGATTAGACCTTCTTAGCTCAGCCCCATAGTTCCACAACTGATTATATTTCTGAATCTCATCACCATATATGTCCTTGAAGGCCAATCTCCTTGCCCTGGCTAGCTTGCTTCTAGATGGAGTCAGATTCCATTCTAATTGGACTAACTTTGCAAACCCTCCAAGTGTCATCTTATCATTTGCTCTAAAAGTTTCAATGTACTTCTCAGATAGCCATTTAGCAGTACACCTTTCAGCACCCATTCCTTCTGACATTTATGCTCCCCAAGATATGTCTTCACCATCATTGACTTGGACCTGCTATCAAATGATGCATATAAGTTCCATGGGCAACCCTCAACACAGTGGGCCCTAAGTCTTTTTTGCTCATTCCTAGGTATCTTGATGTCCACTCTAGCCTTCAAACTGTACTCTGTTATGGCCCTTCTAAGTACTTCTACTGAAGGAAACACCATGCCAACCTTAAAAATTGGGTTCTTAACATCCTCTGCCATGAAAGCCTTAAACTTTAATCTCACTTCACCATCATCATCTAAATCTAGGAGCTGCAAATCTTCATCATCAGTGGAAACTTCCTCCCCATCAGAATTTCTAACTACTATTTCTTTCCCCTTCAACTGACTGCCCTTAGCTTTCTTCCGAAACTTTGCCTTGCAGTCAGATAAGTCTTCAACACCCACATCAACATTGTCAACATACAAGTCATCATCTGCATCTGATATATCATAGTCACTATCCACAAAATCTGGGTCATCTTCTAAGCTACCATCACTGTCACTGTCATCTTGTTTGTTTGGCACCTTCCTATCAGCAGTTGACATCTTCCTAGGACTAAGCACCTTAGGCAATTCACTAATAGGATTAGCTACTACATCATCCCAATCTACACCTGCAATTGTGTCACCCTGATCAAAGTAGATAATAAAATTCTTAACCTTGTGCACAACTGATTTCATCACTTCAAAGTCAGCCCTAGTAGATATAACCCTAAGGCCATCTTCAAGAGTCTTTCCAGGGAGCAACCAATAAGCCTTAAAATCTGGAGTCATATCATACCCAAGCATAGCTAAAAATTCATCCAAACAAACAATATCCCATGTTCTTGCTTCACAGTGGTCAATCCAATTTATCGTTTGATCTACATATGCCCTGTTGCTACCCTGACCAACAAAAAAACCACCATGGTGTACCTCAGCGGTGAATTTACCATCATCAGGACCTGCATTGCAATCCTAATTAGTGGTATTACTCTTATGTTCTAGCCTACTCGAGAACAATGTCAGGATAATCATCCTAATGGAAAAAATAACATCTTTTTGCATAATCAAACGCCATATTCCTTTGTATCTATCTACCAACATCAATCAATACATGCTAACCTTGCAGATTAATGGATGAAATTGAAGTTACACTCACTGTACAACGGAGGCCCTTCCCCTTCCAGGCGGAAAATCATGCCGCCTCCCCGCGATTATAGCCGGTGGGAGGCCGCAACAGCCAATCTCGCCTCTTTGCGCTTTCGCTGGAACCCTATTTCTCCGGCGATCACTCTCCTCACGATCTCCGCTGCACTCTGCACTAGAGCACTCTGGGGAAGACGAAGCAGCAGTGGATGTTGAAAGAAAATGAGAAAAACAGAGGGGCCTCGATGAAAAAAAACAAGTGTGGCCGGTGTCACACACGGTGCGCGTGAGAAAAGGCATGGTGCGGGCCAGCTCAGCTGTGCACGTGGCATGCCACGTCGGCGCGACCGCGGTCAAACGGCATTTTGGACCGGCGATGGTACATTTAGCAAGTTTAGTGGCCTGATTACACGATTTGCAAGTTAATGGACCTGGATAACATCCACCCACAAGTTTAAGGGCCGCTACTGTATTTTACTCTTGATAAAACATAACACAAACTAAACAAAAATTACGTTGTCCTTTGTAGCTTGGAGTCATCCGTTTTGACGTTCATGAAAACAGTAAAATCTCAACTCAGAAAGTGTTGACTCGGATTTGACGATTGGGTCGTGGTTGCCGACTCCTCCGCCCACTCGGTTTCCACGCGTCGTTTATTACCTTTGCAGACGGTTTCACAGAGCTGGAAACAGCTCCGACCTCCGAACCGACCCAATCACAAACCAACCAGATTCACCCAAACGCCGAACCAAACTTCGCATCCCCGAATCCCCGATCCCCAAATCCCTAACCCTAGCCTCGCCCGCCGCCACCGCCACCGCCGCCGCCGCCGCGATGCTCCGCTCGCCGGGCCACTCCCCGCGCCACCTCTCCCCGTCCCCGGCGCCGTCCACGCCTCGCCCCTCCTCCCCGACGCCCTCGTCCGCCTCCGCCTCCGCCTCCGCATCGGCCCTCGCCGCCGCCGCCACTACCACCACCTCCTCCAAGCGCCGCCGCCCGGAGGTGCTCGACGAGGACACCTACGTCGCGGCCGTCGAGCGGATCATCGAGCGGGACTTCTTCCCGGACCTCCCGCGCCTCCGCGACCGCCTCGACTGGCTCCAGGCCCTGCGCTCCCGCGACCCGCTCGTCCTCCGCGACGCGCAGCTCAAGATCCTCGAGCGCCGCCGCCGCGCCCAGCGCCAGCGCCAGGGCGGCCCCGTGCCCACCCCGACGCCGGCCACCTCCACCGCGCTCCGCTCCCCGTCCTTCCTCGCCACCCCCTCCGTCGCCCCCTCCGTCGCCGGCGACGAGGGCGCCGACGTCGACGACGACGTCGAGGCCGCGCTCTCGCTCGACGACTTCTTCCGCCGCTTCACCAGCGAGGACAACGAGTCCTTCTCCCGCATCCTCGAGAAGGTGAACCACCGCCGCCGCGAGCGCTATGCCCACCTGCTGGAGCCTGGTGAGGTGGCGAAGGCGCCCCAGTTGGAGGACGCCAAGCGCGACAGGATAACCGATGGGTACGGCACGTCGGGGCAGCCGCTGAGCACCTTGGAGGGTGCCAAGTTCACGGCCAAGAACCTGCTCATGTACTACCCGGCTGACCGTGGGGAGGCCCCGCTTACTGATGAGGAGCGCGCCGAGCGGCTCAAGGGGATGACCAAGGAGATCGACAGGTCGAACACCAGGTTCCATGGGAAGTCTTCTGTTGATGATGGTGCAAAGGAGGAGGAGGCAGCTGCTATACTTTATGCGCCAGTTGCAGGTTCCACTCCCGGAGGTATGGCATACCATGATCCTGATAAAGCGAAGAAGTACGATTTGGAGGATCTAAGGAAGACTCCAAACCCATTCTACGTTGAGTCAGGGAAGAATGCAAACAATGGGTATAGTTTTGTGAGAACGCCATCGCCAGCACCTGGCGTGGATGAGTCACCGTTCATGACATGGGGTGAGATTGATGGAACACCACTGAGACTGGACCCAGAGGAGACACCGGGTGGTTCTGGGGGAAGTGATAGGGCGCATTTCAAGATCCCACCTCCGCCTGCTCGGGATGTAAAGGCACATCTGCTGTCAAGGGATGCAGCAAGGAAGATAAAGGAGCGCACTAAAATGTTCCACAAGCCACCGCTACCATCGCCTGTGAGGGGAGGAAGTGCAAGCCCAAGGACCTTCTCTCCTGCAGCACAGAAGTTTGTTAGGAATGCCATTGCAAAGTCCTCTCGTACCATTGATGAGTCGCTCCGAGCGAGCTACAGAGGTACAACCCCATCTGCAACCACTCCAAAGACAAGGTTTTCAAGAGACCCAAGCTTGGGATCACGATCTCCATCGACAAGACAGGGTTCCACCCCTCCCTGGTGATTTCAATAAAACTCATTGTATGTTATCCTTATCATAAAACTGATAAGTCATTTATCCCTGTACTGTAAAAAATTATAATATAGTGAGATATTGGCAGCAAGTTCTTTTCATTGGAATCGTTGAGTTAAATCTTTCCAATTAGGAAATTATCTATGTGAGCTGTAAACTGCCCCCCATGTTCCAATTGCACAATTATTCCAGTTTTTGCTAGAATCCTTAGTCGGTTACTCAGTTTATTCTAGCCAGCAGATAAGATATAAGTTCAAAGCTGTTATTCCTAACTGGAATAATTGGCACTTGATACATAATCAAAAACTGGAAGTGTAACTTTTAGTGCACCTATTTCCTGTTACTTTAGTTTTGTCTTACAAGAATGACATCCAAGTTAAAATGCTAATGTTCCGAAGTCCAAACTGAAAATTTTACATAATAGAAACTATTGTATTGAGAGGAAATATTTACTCATTCCTTGATAAATGAGGAAATATCACTTTTTCCATATTGGCATATATGGGAAGCCATTGTGGTATATTTATCCTGTTCCTTGAGTTGTTAGGCCTTGTTATTGAGGTCATTTTTTGGCTATGAACTACCTTAACACTCATCCAATTGCAATTACTACATTTACCAGATGATGGGGAATAATAGGGTCATTTTTATGGTACTTGATTATAAAACTGAAAGAGGAGCGAGTATATCTTTTGCTATCTTGTTATTCAATTTCTTCTTTGCATGTTCTGATAGAGAGTATTTTGAGCTTTATCGCATTCAGGTCAATAAATATTTGCAATAAATTTTAATTTGGAATGTTTGGCATAGTATGTGTTTATACATGTTTTGCGTTTGAAATTGCACAAGTATCACTCAAATGTTATTTTGGATGAATGCACTGAATTACTTCCATGGGAACCTAACTTATTTCAAGGTTGTTTAGTATGTACAGCGTATAACAACTCCCGCAAGTAGAAAGCAACTTAGGAGGGTGGCATATGTGTGTAGAATTGCTGAAGAATGATGGATTTTTATATGTTGGAAGCATCTTGTTTGTTACTAAGAGTGTTAAAGATTTAAAGATAAACCAGTTCAATTAATTTAGTTCAGCCAGGTGCGGAGGTTATGTCTATCCTGATATTTTGTTTGGTATAGTTCTGAGTTGACTATGTTAACAAAATAACATTACATATAAAGAGGATATCTGACTTAGCACATATGGCTTATGGGTTTGCTTTGTTTCACTTTTTCATTGGGTTAACCTGATCTTGAAATGAGGGAACAGAACTTATTTTGACTCAATTAATTTCTCTATCCAAATCAGCAGTGTTCTGTGAGTTAAACCCTCATCCTGTCTTTAGCTGTAATTTGATTGATAGTCTGAACTTAGCCATTGAGGCATCAATTTTATTACTCTTAAAACTTCTGCTTGCTGTAGAATGCTACAAATAACTTGTAGACCTTGATGTTTTCATTAGTGGGCTATGATGTATACTTGGAACATATCGACAGTTTTGGAGCCTCAGGTCCTCAATATATTCTACAATATGGAAAAAAATTAACCGCATGTTGAAGTTTCTATGCTTTACTATTTAGAAATTTTCATTGCCATCTAATGCTTTTATCCCTACAAAGGGGCAATTGCTTATTTGACCCTGTTTTGAAGTCTAACTACCAATTTGACCCTACTTTTTGTAGGTTGCTTATTTGACCCTCCTTTTCAAAAACGAACATCCGTGGTGAATTAACGGTGTTAAGTTAGGGGTAAATAGTCTCTTTTGCCCTTGCTTATTTGACCCTTTTATATCTTGTTTGTTTGACACTATTATTTCATATCATGTATATATTCAAATATTTTGACATATTTGTAATAAATTTTACATATATTTCACATTGAAGACAAGTTCGACAGATTTGCCATAAATTTGAAAATTTTGAATTATTTTGCAAATTTGACTTAAATTTGAAGAAATTTGACAAAATAAATAGGACAAAATTTGACACAATTTGATAAAGTTTATAGGAAATCCACTCCAGAAATGAGATGTAAAATCTGCAATTCCTGTGCAATTCCACCTTGGGCCCGGCATTGTGGACGGAGTACAGCTTCCGGGGGCGCAGCCGCGCAGGTTGTGACAGTGCACGGGCACGTCTTGGCCGGGGTAGACCCGCTCGTCGTCGGTGAAGTAGATGCTGTCGCTGGCGCACCACGGCAGGTGCCGCGCGTCGGTGACGAACGCCATACCGGGTCCCTGTATTAGTATTAGTTCTCATAGTATGTTTTTTGAGAGGAATTCAATTTCATCTAAAATTGCTTGGTGAAGCAAACATGTAAGGATTTGAGGAATGGTTCACTGAGGAACTGATAGGCTTGAGAGGAACTGATTGGCTCGAGAGGGATCTTGTCTATGATATATATTGAAAACTTTAAAATCAATATGTGGTTATTTCAGTTAGTATCTAAACTGTTGGAGATAACCGACAGAACCTGAGACCAATGTATATGCATGATCAGCACAGCGAATATAGGCTAGGGCATGTGGTACACTCTGGTACACAATTGCCTAATAATAAAAAAGCTAATTGAACATTCGCATTTGTAAAATTCTTTCTGAGAGGATTTCAATTTCATTATTGATAAAAAAGAAAATTTAGTCTTACAAAAATTGTAATGTACCACTTCATATTGGTGCTCCTTTTGTATGTGGACACTAACTCGGATGAGGATAAGTTTGTATGCATGAATATAAAAAATCCTACCCATTTGTTTTGGCATTTCTTATCTGAAGTTCTGAACTTTAGAAGGTTGCTCGGGTCTGGAGTTCTTGAGGACCTGACCACCTGAAGCATCCCCATGGATTTAAGGAAGCACTGTCTGGATGTCTGCTGGTGACAAAATCGAGTTCCTGCTATAAGATTTGATAATTCACGAAACTAGCTTCTGGTATACCAGATCACAAGGTGGCAACTAGTCAATGAACTACTCGGGCTTTAGCTGGATAGATTTTATGTTGATGTTGAGCTGAGCTGGAATGTACCAGTCCGCTGTCAGAGCATACGCCTATTTGTGCTGTCCAAGCACTCTATATTTTCATCCCTTCAGATGATAATATTTTAGTTCTTTTCTCTCACTCAAATTCTACATGGTTCGTGGAATACGATTTTACTTCGCTGATGTTGTGTTTCCGCCTGATGATATTCTTATTCGTACTAGTTGTCTGACACCTCAAGTTTACGCACGACATGGGTGGGCCGAAGTTGCGGCCCAGCTCCGTCGACCGTAACCTTGGACTGGGCCGTAGCCTCGTGCGAGTTTCACCCGACGCAAGCGTTGTTCTTGGCAGTAAGTCCATTATTACTCCCTTATAGCTCTAATATAAATTCGTATCCCAAAGCCGCAGATATCTTAATCCTCGCCTATTAAAACTGGTGGAAAATGACTTCTTAATAGTTTTGAGGGTGATTTTTTTGTTTACATGGCTCGTTAACCTAGTCTAACCGGCTGAGTCAGCATATAGAGCCCACATGTCATATCCTCTCTCTATTTCCCTTCTTCCTCCTCCCTCTCTCCCTCTTCCTCTTCCCCCTTCAGCCCTTCCTTCCATGGCAGGCTTTTCTCGTTCCTCTTCTCCACAGCAGCGGCGCAGTGGGACAATGATAGGGAACGGTTAATGGTGAGCACTCTTCATATCCCTCTCCCACCCCGAGGCGCAGCGGAATCACGAATGGCAGTCGATGGCTTGGACATCAGAACCAAGGAGGAAGGCCATGGCGTGGACTCGAGGTGGAGCGGCCAAAGAGGAGGAGAGTACGCCACCGCTAGCCTTGCGGAGAACGATGTTGGCCTTCCCACGGGAGAGGCGGCTGTGACCTCGGTCTCCTTACGGAGGCTCACAGTAACAGGCACCGGAACCGCCTGCTTCTTCATCCTCCTTCCTACCGGACGCCACAACCCTCACCATGGATGAAGGCAGTGGCCTTGTCACCCTTGACCAGCTAGTCGATGCCGAAAGACCCACCCGTGCTCCGCCAAAGCCAGAAGATATGGGATGAGGGAGAGAGAGGGGGGGATGATATGCGGGCCTCACATACTGACTCAGTCGATTGGAATAGGTCAATGAGCCTTAGCGAAATCCACCCACAAAACCATGGAGGGAGTAATTTTACTTCGGTTTTAATAGTTGAGAGGATCAAAAATATTTTATATTGCGGTTGAGGGATACATATTAGATTATACCTATATTTGAGGAAGTCAAAGTGGATTATCCCCAGTTCCAGGGTCAGTGTTGTTGAGGTATTAACGGGTAACGGAACCAAATTGTATTTGATATGGTTGTAGTTTGCTAGGAATCAATTTGTTTTTTTTCAAATAATAATCCAAAACTGAACAAACCAAATGGCAACCCTACTCAGTAATAGCTTTGGCCTCAGTAAATTTCTGTTGCAATTGGTACTCATATGTATAATACTCTATGTTTTTTAATGTATAACATTGTTAATTTTTCTCATAATGTTTTATCATTTGTTTTATATTTAAAATTAGTATAAATATGTAAACGTATAAGTTTAGATTATGGTTTCTTTTATGATAAAACAAGTCATGATAAAATAAATAATATTTATTTTTTTAAATAAGATTAATAATCAGATATCATGTTAAAAGTCAGCGGTGTCATGTATTAAAAAACGGAAACGGAAGGATCATAGTGATTAAAATTTGATCAATCTTGACGTATGAAGTCATGTAGATGTACCTATTGATTCTTCACCAACCGTTGATGCTTTCTAGACGAGTAGCATGGCTTGTAAACAAAGTAAACACCATCTAAGATTTGCTAATCAGCCAACGCTATACGCCTATACCTATATAATGCAAGGATCCAAACACTAAACTTTACATGCACCGAGCATGAATGAACCATCAAAACATGTGGTGGATGGCATCTCCAGGCCATAAATCTTGGAAGAGATGCAGCCAGGGGCGCCGCCATGTATTGGTTGTGTTGACCCCCATGCATGCATCTAATCCATGATCCATCCACGAGACCATATATCCATGCAATGCAAGCTCTATTGAAATTGTCAAATAAGCACCCACTGCATGCACCGAGCTGAGTAGCTTCTACTCCTAGCTGCTAGCTTGTGCTAGACAGTGGCTCAAAATCCTCACTCTCTTCGTTTTCAGAGATTTCACGGCATGGCATTGGATGGTACTTGACAATACACTGCAACTAGGCCTGTGTACTTATTCTGTACTGGATCTTTTGTATATAGGCCCCGTTTAGTTCTCCAATTTTTTTTTCCAAAAACATCATATCGAATCTTTGGACACATGAATGAAGCATTAGAAGTAGATAAATGAAAAAACTAATTACACAGTTAGGGAGGAAACCGTGAGATGAATCTTTTGAGTCTAATGAAATTAGTTTTCATCTCGCGGTTTTTCAGGCGAGTTATGAAATTAGTTTTTTTATTCGTGTCTGAAAACCCCTTCCGACATCCGGTCAAACGTCCGATGTGACACCCAAAAAATTTCATTTCCTCAACTAAACACACCCTATAGACTGTATTTATAGTGTGGAGAGGATGCAGAGTTATATAGTGGTGTTCTTTTCCCATGAAGATGAAGATTAAGTTTTTTACACAAAACGAGATGGTATTAACGTATGATTGAGTTTTAACTATTATAGACTTAAAAAATATATCAATATGATATTTTTAGAGCAATTTTCCTATAGAAAGTTTTCGGCTTAAAACACACCGTTTATCAGTTTAAAAAGCTGCTAAAAATCTTAATGTTCATCCAACTCTTGTTGGAGAAAAGAACTCTTGTTTCCGTAGTACTCTCTCAGTTAGATCGATTGGCAGGTAGCATCTGCAGTGTGTGTGATCGACTGGCGCGACTACTGCAATGCGGTGTTGGCGGAGCACTAATAAAAATCTCGCGCGCCGATCGTCACGGGACACTGGTAGCTGCAGCCCGGCCGGGATGGCTGGGCGCATGCATATGTATATATGCGTATCAAAAGCTGGGGCTAGCTAGCTAGCTCTTAATTTACTTTGGTCTCTTGCTATTTCTTGCTGCCAGCGATCTCTTGTGCGTGTCACGGGCGTAGGCACTGTTCTGGCACTAGTAATCTTGTGCCTCTTGCCGATCGAATGCCGACCTGAGCGATCGAGATGATAAGATATTTCTTGATTTCGCTACATAAATCACATACTACATCACATCACAGCTACATACCTACTCGATCGAACCATGCATGATTTTATCTTTTATACCTGTACATGCATATACACTACTTAAAAATCGATTTTTTCTAGATAAGATCCCTGCTTGGTCGCAGACGGAACGTAACTAGCCATGTCTGCAAAAATCGACCTTCATTTTCGCGTACGGCCCCGTTAAGAGGTCCGCATACAAAAAATCGATTTTTGCAGACCTCTTAAAGTAGCCGCATGTGAAAATAAGCATATTTTTGCATGTGGACCTGTTAAAAGGCCGCATCCAAAGATATATTTTCACAGGTGGACCTCTTAAGGATCCACATAAAAGTTTGACTTACATTTTTATCCCTCTTAACACTATAAAATTTTCAAAGTCCAATCTTATCTTCTCGGTCCTCCTCTTCTCTCTCTCTCAGCAACCGGCGGGTGGACAGCAGGTGCGGCCAGCGGAAGGCAGCGGGTGCGGCCGGTAGGAGGCAACGGCAACGGTGGCTACCTCCGGCACTCGGTGGCGGGCGGCGGGCCACCTTGGACCGGCGTGAGAGGTGGCGGTGGGCGGCGGGCGGATCTGGCGCCCCCCGATGTCAAGAGCGGTGGCTGCAGCATGGGAGGGTGGATCCGCCGCCACCTGACCACGGGAGCGGCGGCGGTGGCAGGCGGATCCACCGGCTCCGACCTCGGGAGTGGCAGCGGCGGCAGGAGGATCCACCGCCTCCGACCTCGGCTAGCTAGAGTTTCGGTTTTTCAATTTTGGGAATTTTATTTCTTTTTGGAATTTTATTTTACATGCAGCTCACATAAGCACCAGTATAAAAATTTGATATTCGCATGCGCTGCGCGAGCCGCATTGAAAAATCGCTATTCTCATATACCTTTTCAGGTAAATGGTTGTCCCAACCACATAAAAAAATAGGGTTTGTGGTCGTATGGAAAAATGTTTTTTAGCCGTGATACTTCATGGAATGTACTTGGTTTGGTTTGGCGTGCATAGCCGTGATACTTCATGAGATTATAATTATAGACCAAATAAATTTTACCAAGTTTTGGTAATATCAAAATTTTGTTAAGATGACAATATTGCTAAAATTCTGGTAAGATTTCTTATGTATTGACTAAATTTGATAACAAACTAAATGTAGATATTTTCTAAAAAACTCTAAAAAAATTGATATGGTTAAAAATGGCATCAAGTGAATAAGCCGGAATATTTATGGGTGTATAGCTATACACTTGTGCATGCAGTTGTGTGTGCATGATATATACATATACAACTTACAAGTGCAGGCGAGCATACGTGGCCACATGCATGCATTGGAACATTTAACTGTCACAGGACAAGACGAGTTCACGAGGGGAGAGAAACGACACCACGAGACAGAAGAGAAGAGACAAGAGCGCAGGCGACCCGTGACGACGTGAGGGCCGTATGTTTCATCATATAACCGACGACGAAACTATACATACACTCTCATTCACATGACTATCAAATTATATGCTAGCATGATTAGTATGCTTCAACCTCCTCTCCGACCTGCATTAATTATCTTTGTTAAGCTAGCTGCTAATTAATACTGTATGTACGCACTATATTGGCATATATGGACAAATTGTAGATGCATTTCACCCTATATCTCAACCTTTTTTTAATCATTAGTTACATATAAGTTCAAATTAGCACCGATGGCTGCTATAACAAATAACATCAAACTTTTAAACTCCGTGCAAATTAATTGTAGTGCAAAATTAATTTTAAGAATTTTATAACATTGTACGTTATCTCGTCACATATGGCTCTACAAATTTTAACCCTATCATTGTGCGTTCTGTTTCAGAAACAGAACTGAAAAATCAAACACTATCATTAGGGAATAAAATGGATCATTTTACACTGGTTCAAGGGGTAAAATGAGAGAACAAAAAGGTTTAGAGAGGCTTTAAGTACACCGAAGGACAAGAAGGTCCGGAAAAGTCAACTAAAAAGGACAAGGACTGTACGAAAGAACTGATATATGCTCATCGATAAAAAAAAAACACTACAGTATTTCTTTTACAAATATATAGGCTCTGGTATGATCTGATCAATCCACACATTGTAACAATTTGGAATCAACGCTATAAGCCTATAATTTATTTTATTTTCCACCAGAAACATGATATATTTTTTTGCCACTGTTGATGCGACAGAAGAATATAATAGGATCAACATCAAAACAAATTTCCAAACTACAAGGGGAGACCATTTTTAAGTGATCAAAACTAACATGGATTAGCAACTTGTTCATGTTGATCGAACCAGCGAAATATAGGTAAACAAAACCAAAGAATTAGCAACAAACTCATTGCATGGGCAAAAATCAAACAACACTATTTCCAGTGATATATTCAATACGTACTTGTTTCTATATCCTGACCGATCAAATCAATCAATGAACGAGATCGACGGCCAAAAACTCATCTAGAAGTAATTCGATCGTGATTTTCAAGTCAAGATCGCACTATCAACCACTCATCATTACACATATAAAAGGCTCGTTTTTTTATGTTCATAAAATATACACATCATCACTTATCAGTATAGCAGCAGCAGCAGCTTAATTACCAGTTAATTAACTCGATCACCACCTTGTCTACGCCATTGTTGACGTCATACCTTGACTTGCATGCGCATGCATGGGCCCCACTTCGTCTCCATGCACGCGTTCACACGTACGTACGTACGGTGCGGCCGCTCGCCGTCGCCTGAGCTGGAGGTGACGATGGATGGGTCACCTCTTGGCCCTGGCGGCTCGGCGGCTGAGCACCACCCAGTAGAGAACTCTGTAGAGGAGGAAGAAGCCGAAGAGCACCTGCACCCCGGTCCACCGCTCCTTGGCCGTGAGCCCCTTCTCCGCCAGCACGTCGGCGCCGGTCTCGGAGCAGTCGCCGGCGGCGGGGCCGGCGACGCCGAAGCAGCGGGTGGCGGCGCAGGTGTACTCGTTGGCGAGGAGGGCGTCGAGGGCGTACTTGTACGGGGAGACGTAGTGCATGAACACCCAGTACGGCGGCATGCTCCCCCTGGACAGGAAGTAGCCGGAGAAGAGGAAGAAGCCGGCGAGGGACACCGACACCAGCGACATCCCGGCGATGTAGTCCGGCGCGAACGAGCTCACGAACAGCACGAAGGAGTTCGCCGTCAGCACCACCGCCCACACCACCATCACGAACGCCGCGAACGCCGCCGCCGACGCGCAGAGGCCGACGAGGAAGTAGACGCAGGCGGAGTAGAGGAGCGCCACCGCCAGGAGGTACGGGAGGAACACCAGCGTCGCCGCCGCCGCGTGCGACGACAGCCTGTACAGCCCCGACGCCGTCTCCGCCAGCACGATCGGCCGCTCCGACACGAACGTCGGCAGCGTCTCCGTCGTGGACGTCAGGAGGAACGTCAGCGTGAAGGCGAACAGCCCCAGCCGCTTGTGCGCGCCGCCCTCGCCGTCGCCGGCGTTGATGTAGATGCTCCCCAGCAGCGTCCCCACCACCACCGACTCCAGGAAGTTGGTCAGCAGCAGTTGCTTGCTTCGGTACACCACCTTCCATGCCCGCTTGTACAGGACCACCACCTCGTGTATCCTCGAGCACGGCGAGGTTGACGACGACGACGACTTGGAGGACGTCACGGCGGCGAGCTCCTCCGTCGTCTTGGGCTCAGGGGAGGAGGCGGACGGGTGGGGCATCTGGTCGAGTACCTCGAGGGCAAACTCCAGCGGGTTGAGCTGCGCCGGCACGGCGAGGCCGTGGGAGAGGAGCGCGGCGTCGAGGGAGTCGACGGAGCCGTGGTGCACGACGGCGCCACGGGAGAGGAGGAGGAGGGAGTCCACGGCGGAGAGGAGGCGCGAGCTGGGCTGGTGGATGGAGAGCACCACCGTCGTGCCGCGCGCGGCCGCGACGGCGCGCAGGCAGCCGACGACGACGTGCGCGGAGGAGGAGTCGAGGCCGGAGGTGGGCTCGTCGAGGAGGAGGACCCCGGGGTCCCGGAGGAGGGCGAGCCCGATGGACACGCGACGCCGCTCGCCGCCGGACAGCCGCGTGGCGGAGACGCGGGTGTGCGCCGCGTGGCCCAGCCGGAGGTCCGCGAGGAGGGCGGCGACCGCGGCCGACGCCTCCGCCGCCGCCGGGTACAGCAGCGACGCCGCGAAGGCGAACGTCTCTGCGACGGTGAGCAACGGCAGCGCGACGTCCATCTGCGGCACGTGGGCGGACAGCCGCCGGAACGAGGACGGTCGGAGCGGCGCCGCGTTGAGGAGCAGCCTCCCGTGCGTCGGCGCCGTCCGCGCGGCGAGGATGTCGAGCAGGGTGGACTTGCCGGCGCCGCTGGGGCCGACGACGGCGAGGATCTCCCCGGGCCGCGCCGTCAGCGACACGTCCCGGAGGATGTACTCCGGCGACGGCGGCTGCGCCGCGCCGCAGGGCCTCAGGAGCCGCGCCAGCGACGCCACCGTCGTCGTGGCCACCGCGGCGGCGGCCGGCTTGGCGTAGTAGATGTTCCGCGCGGCGAGCTCGTACATGATCACCTTCTTGGGCGGCGTCGACGGCGACGGCGACGGCGATGGCGAGGCTTCGGCATTGTCGGGTTCTGTGACGGTGGTGGTGGTGGTGGTGGACATTGTGGCGTGGCCGGAGGCGGCGAGGGAGGGAGGGAGAGATGTGAGAGGACGTTGAAGGTAATTGTAGTGTAGCTTGTGGTTGTGAATTGTGATCGGCTAGGGCACAAACTCAAAGGCCACAAGTTGGTGTGGATTATTAGCTAGGCATTTGATAATTTAGGGTTTGGTTGGTCTTTTGGAGGAGAGTGTGTGCTACTACTGCTCAATGGCAGTATGGAGAGGGTATAGTGAGGAGGGTGGAGTGAGACAAAATTAATCAGATGAAATGGAAGGATAATCGAATATATAAAGGTATATATGGAAGGAGGGAGAGATTGACACGCACTTTCTCATTACAGATCACTTTGCGAACTTTGAGTTGTATTGTGCTAATTATAGCTTCCTTAATTGCAAACTTTTCATATTGTTACTTTGCAACATATATATCGTATCTTAATTATAACGTAGTGTCATCAACCCTTGCACGTGGATCGAATATAGAGACATACTTTCTCTGTCCCTAATTAAATCAACCTCGTGTCTATATTTATCGTACTAGGATGTGTCACATCCAGTATGAGGTTGAGGTTAGTTTATTTTGGGATGGAGGGAGTAGGGTAAGTTCAATGTATACACATGATATTAGTTTAAAATTTTCGCTAAATAGTTTATAATAGATAATAGAGGTATAAATATATTATCCTAAAAATCTATGAGCACAAACCTATGGTCAATATTGATTTATATATGTTCATTTAGATATGAAACTTAGTTTTAATATGTAGTTAAGTGCTTTATTTCTGTTTATTTTCCGGCCTCCATATGAAATGGAACTCCCTAAGTTATTTGTCTTCGCGATCTGGTTGGTTTCATGCCTTCTCCCATAGTCCCACTGCAATAATATGAAGATGCAGTGGGGTATGAACTATTGATCAAACAGGAGGAATAATGCTTTGATCCCTTCTCTGTCTCTCTATGTATTACACAGTAAGAATGTTTCTATGTACTAATTATATGCATCAAACTTCACAATTAGAATCTTGCACTAAAGCCATAATTGTGATACGGTGTACCTTTCAGTGACATACATATACTAGATGTATAGACGTAAACCTCAGCCAGAATACATTTGGAACTGCACACCAGGCATGTGATGTATATGTTTGAACTAGAATATAACAGCCACATGAAGTCATCATCATATGTAGGCCATTCAGAAACACAAACAAAAAGAAATATATGCATATATGAATATGTGCGTACATATATCTCACTTTCTAGAAGGAAAAACGGCCTTTTTCTGATCTACTCGTGTCAGGGCAGGGTACATTTTTCTTTTATTCATTTTTAGGTCTATTGGACCACCACATATATATTTTTGCGTCACACTTAAGCAAGATGCATATGGTAAAATGCAATAAGTGAGTCTCTAATATAATTGATAATGCAGCCCCACCAAAAGCAGCATTTGCATCATTGATAATGCAAATTGACCACGATCAGTCAACTAATTAAACAAGCACACTGGTTCCATCGTTTGCTATCCAGTATTCCAAACTTAATGTTAGAGTTAATTTTGTTTGTTTTATCAAAGTTTATTTTCTAGGATTAACTTTTAAGTCATTAGAGCACATATATAAAAATTTTACCTAAAAATTATTTTTTCTATGTGTTACGACTTACAATCAGATGTAGGCGAAACAATGACACTATTAGTCTGGTTAAATCAAGCAAACAAAAGCACCTAGATGTATGTATTATTCCAAAGCTCCTTCATTTTAAGCTTACTCCCTATGTTATCATGCCTTCATTATCATCACCACCATCACTCTAGTAGTGTACCAGGGATTGTTTATGGCGTAATAGTGAACTCCAAGGGATACCAAGATGGTAAATCAGCTGTATCCACGGATTTTGGAGCACAATTTAGTTTCATTTAATTTGTAGGAGAAACATAGGAACTTAGAGGATTTTAAGCCTAGGAAAAATTTCTAGGAGTACCATTGTTTCAAAGGATTGAATTCAACCTTTTTTTCTTTAAAATTCCTATGAATGAACAACACTATAGAGTTTTCGGAGGAAAGTTAATAAAAGCTTTAACGTTTTGAAAATTTTTCTTCAAGTTTATCTGCCTCATTCAATTCCTGAGACAATTCATGTGTTTTTCCTATGGTCTATTCAAACAACCTTTTTTATTTGTTTGTAATCATCTATTTTGCAATTCCGTTCCTATTAAATCCTTATGGTTTTGAAAGAAGCCCTTAATCAAATAGGAGTCCAAAAGTTATTCATGAATCTAGGCGTAGGGATGATTAGCACATAGTAGGAGAATATGATAATCATGTGTGGCGGAGGCATCCCCATCAGAAATAGCGGGAGGGCATCTCCAGGCCACAAATCCTGGATGAGATCCAGACGGGGGCCCCCCTCCATTGACCCATCTATCCATCTGTCCAAATATGCATATGCATGCACACACATCGACAACCACCCACCGAGCTAAGCTCTGATCGGTCACTCTTGTTCCTTTTCACAGCATGGTCAGCAACTCCGCATTAGATATATACTGTACTTCCTCCATCTCAATATAGCTGTAAATGTAACCTAATACATATATTTTAAAACTATGAACCTGGACACTATATACATACATTATGTAATCGTAGTATGTACTTATATTATATTTATTTTGGGATTGAAAGAAATATGGAATAATCATTCATCAGAGTTGTCACCGATATCAAATGAATATATATATGTATATATAGAGAGATCCATGGGTAGCATGCAGTGTCTGTGACCGCATAGCGTGTTGCGTAACCAAAAAAATCTCCAAGCATGCGTCGTCACGGGACATGGTAAGGAAAGGCAGATCAAAAGCAAGCAGCTGCTTGCTTGAAGTGCCGATGATGATAAAAATCCCCACTCACTTTTTGTTTAACTCTGCTGCAGTTCAGGGCCCCTAGCGACCACTCTGTACTTTGGTCCCTTGCTAGCCTGATCTTTAAATTAAAAGAAAAGAAAGAAAAAAAAACTTTTGGTCCCTAGCTTTGCTCTTGCTTGTTGCTGGTGCCAGGTACGGAGCGTAGTGTCACGGGCGTACTGTGTGCGCTGTGGCAGCTAGTATACTCTCAGTGGTACACTCACTGACTGTCCCTCTTGCCCAATGCTGCCGACCAGCAAGATGATCGAGGAGATATTTCTTCTTAATTTCTCGCTGGATCGATCAATCGATCGGTTTGCAAACGTTTGCAGCCAGCAGGATCGATGCATTATGTATGCCACATCCATGTCGTATGCTTTGGTGTTTTTCCATTTCTTTTCATGCATATATATAGGTGTGCCTACTGTTTATCTAGCTAACTTATAACGTACGTATCTACTGCTTGATTATTAATTTGTTTCTTCCTGAAAATGCGCAATAATAATGTGAGTATATACAGCATATACGTATATATGATAGATGAGTATGATGTGCGTGTATATACATACACTTGTACATGATGATATACAATCATGCAAGGTGCAGATAATGCATGCGTCCGTGGGCACATGCAGAAACGGGATCGTGATCAGGTAGTATGTACATATTCCTTATTCTAACTTCGTGTTCTTTTTTTGTGACTTGTACACATACAGCTAGCCGACCTGGCTCTCGAGCACGGTGCCAAATTAAGCCTCGTGTAAGCATTGATCGATCCAATTTTGATGAGTTGGGGGGTTTCTACTTTCTAGCTAGCTATCTACATGTATATGTGTATCAACAGTTTTAAAAAGCTGGGAAAATAGCATACATGTGCCATGCATAAAGTGATCATTGTGATTCTGCATAGTACACCGCTTCATCCATATGCCCATGCATCCGTCCAAGCATCCATATTATCCCTTACAGAGTTACGGGTGCTAGCTAATTAATTAGCTTCATTATACAGTTCATCAAACATAAGATCCCATGCATATACCACTAGAATCGCACGATATGCCAGGTCAACCATATAAATATATTGATGCTATTTTATGATGAGCGTCGTACGCCGATCCTGTACATCTCTCTATATGCTGATTGGCAAAATGGGTCTTATTTTGATTCTCTTAACTAATTTATCAATAAGGCACATGCAGCTCTAAGTAAGGACATTTACAATGCTCCACCGGGTTGAGTGGCATCAAGGATCCACGCACGTCGCATTCAAACATGTAGGGTGGAGGAGAGAGGAAAGAGAATGAGTATGATTTCGCATGTGTCAGAGTGACATGTAGAGAACACATGCAACTTGGGGGAGAGAACTATCAATTGAGAGAGAAAGGGAAAGGGGAAGGATGATCACGTAGGGTACCATAGAAAAGCCTCATGCCCAGCTGAAGTCAACCATTGTCATGGCCGTCGAGCTTAGATCCGATGGCATTGGATGCTGTCGATGCTTGATCTGGTGATCTTGGATGCCGTCGACAGCCTGAACGAAACGACGGTGTTGCCATGGCTACCATATGATGGCATCATGGGGTGTCGTGGAGCGGGGGCGAAGAGGAGAAAGCGTACCTGGAGCAATGTCAATGGAAGAGAGCGATCAATGAAGGAGATTGGCCTGACCTAATTGATCCAAGACGCTAACGACAGGAAACTCTATGCTCGACCAGGTGACCTTGGATACTGCTAACTAGATCTTGTGATCTTAGCCAATAGCCCAAGCAAAACGATGGTGCCGCCATGGCAGCCGAATGGCAGCATCATGCGGTATCATGGCAATGAGGAGAAATTGTGGCGCAGGGTGAAAAGGAGAAACATGGAGCAATAGCGACAAAAAAGAGAAGTGCTGATTAAAGTCAAAAGGAGGATAGTGCTTATGATGACCAGAGTTATATATATAAATGGCTGGTGTTAAAATAAAAGTAAAGGATGTATATGGCTAATCTATAAACTTGAAGGTACCTCTAGAAGCTACTTCTCATTGTGTGGCATGATTTTTTTTGTGTGTGTGTGGATATAAGCTGATTTTTCTCATGAGACCAACACCATGAGGACACTCCCTATTGTGAATGTTGTACTTGCAATAGGCACGCATGTAAGAAGACCTTAAATGAGACTTTCCTTATACAGGACCCCTAAATAAAAATATTGTAGTATGAACAAATTTAATTTTTGGGTTAATGGTTGTATGGAAATAGTCTTTAATTTGATGGTGTAGGTAATTTAGAAGGTAGACTCAACTATCGAACATACACCCTTATTATGTATTGTGGCTCTAATATAATGCTCTAGCTATAACACTACTA